TATTCCCCCCAGTTTCCATTTCATTGTCCATTTTCTTCTCCATGTGATTCTCCATTATAGGGGGATAATATACCCTAAACCCAAACCCTAAACCCTAAACCCTAAACCCCAATTTAATTCAAGTTCCTTAACAGCAACCCCAGAAGAACTCCTGAAGGGCAGACCCAAGGGTCCATCGAGGATGCTCAGGACCTGGTACTCCTGGGTTGCCGATAAGGAGCTTAGGTTATATAGGGGTTAGGGTTTAGGGTTCAGGGATCAGGGTTCAGGGTTTAGGGTTTAGGGTTCAGGGTTTAGGGTTTAGGGGTGGTTTTATAGGGGTTCTAGAGGGGTTGTATAGGGGTTTTATAGGGGTTCTAGAGGGGTTATATGGGGTTTTATAGGGGTTCTAGAGGGGTTATATATGGGTTTTATAGGGGTTATATAGGGGTTTTATAGGAGTTCTATAGGGGTTCTAGAGGGGTTATATAGGTGTTTTATAGGAGTTCTAGAGGGGTTATATAGGGGATATATAAGGGTTTTATAGGGGTTCTAGAGGGTTTTATAGGGGTTTTATAGGAGTTCTAGAGAGGATATATAGGGGATATATAGGGGTTATATAGGGGTTTTATAGGAGTTCTAGAGGGGTTATATAGGGGATATATAGGGGTTATACAGGGGTTTTATAGGAGTTCTAGAGGGGTTATATAGGGGATATATAAGGGTTTTATAGGGGTTCTAGAGGGTTTTATAGGGGTTTTATAGGAGTTCTAGAGGGGTTATATAGGGGATATATAGGGGTTTTATAGGGGTTCTAAAGGGGTTATATAGGGTTTTATAAGGGTTTTATAGTGTTCTAGAGGGGTTATATAGGGGTTGTATAGGGGTTTTATAGAGGTTCTAGAGGGGCTATATATGGGTTTTATAGGGGCTTTATAGGGGTTCTAAAGGGGTCATATAGGGGTTGTATAGGGGTTCTAGAGGGATTATATATGGGTTTTATAGGGGTTTTATAGGGGTTCTAAAGGGGTCATATAGGGGTTGTATAGGGGTTCTAGAGGGGTTATATAGGGGTTTTATAGGGGCTTTATAGGGGTTCTAGAGTGGCTCTATAGGGGTTGTATAGGGGTTTGATAGGGGTTTTAGAGGGGTTATATAGGGTTTTATAGGGGTTTCATAAGGGTTCTAGAGGGGTTATATAGGGGTTGTATAGGGGTTATATAGGGGTATATTGGGAGAATGGAAAAGAAAATGGAAACTACTATTTAGGGTGTAGGGTTTAGGGGGATATAGTCCCCCTGAAGTAGATAGAATATGGGGTATATGGGAATCTTGTTATAATATACCCAAAGCCATATTCTATCTACTGAAGGGGGACTGTAAGTTACTATAATAAGGAAACCCTATTTACGATGTACCATATCATGGTAACTTAATTGAGCTTACTTGGCAGCAACCCAGACTCCTGCACAATGGGCGTCTGCAGTGGCTGCAGCAACTTCTTGAAATGGTTCTTGGCCCTTTTGCTGATGTCTCTCAGCCATTTGTCACTGCGGCCCGGCATTTCCTCATCTGTGTCCTTAGCGAGGCGTGGACAACGAACCTTAGGAAGATGCCTACGAATGGGATTCGGGGCTGCCACTTATTAGTACTGCCACTATCGGTATTACTATTCTTACTACTGTTATTACTACTGTTATTACTACTATTATTACTACTAGTACTACTATTATTACTACCATTACCATAACTCATACATAATTTCTACTATGAAGATTAGTATTACTACTATTCTTATTATTGCTACTATTACTACTAAATCTTCATTGCTGATCTACACTCCGCGCATCCCTAGAATGAGCCGACTAAAGTCAATCCAAGGCAACAACTCACAGAGGGGGAAACAACACCAACTTGATGGGCAGAGTCTCCTCTTGAATGTTTGAGCCTGAAATCCTGAAAACCTCATCTTCAGACATCTTCAGCTATGCCCCAAGACCTTGCAAGCTATCAGACTTGTTACAGTATAACGCGCGTGGAGGAAGAGCGTTTGGAGCCAGCCCGTCCCACCACAAAAAAAACAAAAGGCGAAGCCAGGCCCCTGAAATTCCAGCGGGTTCCATCATTTGAGGGATTCAAGGTCTGAGAGTGGGTCGAAAAAAAAAAGAGCATTCAGCCAAAGATAAAGGATTTAGCAGGGAAGAAGCTGCAAACCAACGTGTAAGTGCTTTGAATGGACTATGGGCTGCATGATCAGGTGCTCCAGTTTCGTGCCAGACTTGTACTTTCAAATTCTTGTGCCCCAAACCTCAAACCCTAAGTTTCAGGTCGCAATCTTGCAGGGCCTGCCCCTACCCAGATACATGATGCCATGAAGCAGCGCTGCCTCGTTGAAAATCTCCTCGAAATCCAGAGGAGACAACCTTTGCCACCAAACTTCCCCAAGAGGGCGATGAGAACAGGATGGCTTGAAGGGAGCAAAATTGGCGTACGTGCTGGAAGCTGCTAAGCTTCCAAAGCCCTAGTATCTCCCTTAAGGACCCCTTAGTAGTCCCCTATGTAACCCCATATATAACCCCCCTTAAGCAGTTTAGACTATAGCTCACCTGGGAAGTCCTACACTCCTCACAGACACCCTTTTGTTCCTGGCCGGTAAGTGATGCAGGCACAAACATTACCCTCCCCTGACGAAGATGGAGTGGTATAGGGTTTAGGGTTTAGGCTTCAGGCTTAAGGGTTTAGGGTTCCAAGCCAAACCTCTTAAGCTAGGTCGGTCAAGGAGTAGCTAAACCAGGATGGGCTCAAAGTAGTTCCTAGAGCCTATCTTGGGATGATCTTCCTTGCTAGCCAGGTTTAGGGTTTGTACCTTCTAGTACATTATAGTATTTTAGGGGTTATATTGGGGCTATATTGGGACAATGGAAAAGAACATGGAAACTGCAGTTTAGGGTGTAGTGCATTTCCCATCTGACAGTCTGGAGGCCCGTAGACTACTAGCTTTCACTTAGCTTTCAATTTTGCACTAGTCAGCCATAATCTTATACACCGACTTGGAAGCCCTGTGACCAAAGTACCCGGATTTTGCCACTTAAAACAGGGAACTGCCATACAGCTTCCGAATATTATGCTATTTCTCCTCCTCTTTTTGGGAGGGCTGCCTTGAAATTTCTCCAATGCCGACAACGATGCTTCGCCAGATGAAGGCGGCAATCGCGATAGAGCCGGATGAAGCTCCTCTGGGAAACGACCAGCACCTGCCCAAAAGCAGGGCTTATTTAGGGGTAATGGAAGAGAAAATGGAAACTAGTATAGTATCATAGGGTGTACATAGGTAGGGGTATTTAGGGATGATGGAAAAGAAAGTCGAAGCTACTATCTAGGGCTTAGGGTTTAAGGCTAAATTCCCAAAATTGGGGACATGTACATAGAGACCCGTATTGTAACAGGAACCCCACTATACGCTTTGGGCGGCTGGGCCAACGCGACTCTGGGGCTAGCTTGTATGAGGATTCCTTTCAGTTGGCAGCTGATTCTGGCTAGCTGATTTAAGGCAACCCTATTACAGTCAATATGTCGTACATAATTTGATGGACATGGGTTCCTTAGTAGGGACTATATTAGCAACTATACTAAACTACAAGAGGGACCCCTAATCCCCTTAATGAGCCGAATATTGACAGTAGCTCACATACGTTCATCCAAGCCCAGCTGGAAGCCAGCCTGACGAACTTACAACAGCTTTGAATTGAACATACACCCTGTTCATGGACCAGCATTGACCCCACCTAAGGCCCGGAAGTTAAGCACACACATATAAGAAAATGTGTATATATATATATATGTACATATACTCCTTGGAGCGTCTGTTGCTGATGCTATGATGTACTGTTTGATGCATACCCTTTTATTACGCATAACAACATGTGCATGCACAACAATGCACATCCTCCGAGCTTCAGCAGGAATACACACACATACACACATTCCAAGTCAAGCGGTCATTTCTATTATCAACACCATTTTCTAAGAACCATAGCAACCCTACTACATGGCCGGGAATCAAATCAGCCTGGCAGATTTCACGGCCAAGCTTCTGGAAACCATGCTTACTCTGGAATTTGATGGATAAACGCGCAGATCTTCTAATTCGGTGAGTCCATGTGATCAAGCTGTTCATTCAGAGTTCTTCGGTTTCATGCTGCACGCAAAGCACTGTGCTCAAGGAGGAAGTGCGCACGAGTTGCAGTAAATGCTCACCGAATATCCGGTCCTGGCGTGCACAGGACAGTGTTGCCCAATCGCCGCAAACACGGTCCGTGTTGGCACCCATGCTGTAATTACAGGGATTCTACGAAGACCATCAGCTCACAAAGGCTACAATTCCTCCCTAAGGGTCCAAGGACCTAAATAATAAGGGCTTTAGGGTCCAAATACAATTGATAATACAGTATTTGTGCCTTAACACCCTATTATTTGGGTCCCTGCACCCTTAGGGCCTGCTTCATCGAACAAGGACCCAATGCATTTCCACGTCTCCAAGCCTGGATCTCCTGAAGACCTCACCTGAACTCTGGGGCTTCCGAAAAATCAAGTGTATCTTTTGTGGGGGAGTCCCTATAATAGTGATTATCATATTTGAGGGTCCATCTTGGGCTCCACCTATTTCTGGATTCCCCAGTAAAGAGGCCAAGCCCAAAAACTTGAGCCCTTCATCCTAAATGGGGCCCTCTGATCCAGGAACCCTGAATCGTAAGACTACCTACTGCTGCGCCTGCCCACCCTCACCGGTCACGGAGACTCTGCTGGACCTATTAGGGTTTCGGGCTTACCCATCACAAGTCCGTAAAATGATGGCCCAAAACCCCTGAAAACAGCCCAAAAGACCATTATTTCACATGGGGTTCGGGTAGGGTTTCAAGCATGAGCCCTTTGACTTCTGGCGCTTTAGGGGGAGTGGTTCCGTGTTGGCGGCCTTGGGCAATACTAGGCAGGATTGGGTGAAAACATTAGGTCACCTACACCGTTTCAACAAGCTTCTAATTCCTCACTTCGAACTCTGATTGGGGAAGGGTAGGTACTTTGTCATGGCAGGACATTTTCGAACCTTATGCTTCGCACCCGAATTGCTTAAGAAATTTTTAGATTCTTGACGCATGAACTGAAGCCCTTCACGGACATGCCTCAAGGTAACCTTCTTCATGCTGGAACCTGCCTGCTCTAGACGATCCAGAAATTCAATGTCCAAATCCGAATTACTTGTGTTTTAAAATTCGGCTGACCGGAAATGGAATCTCATTTGTTGACTGCTTGAATGGGTCAGGGACATCAGGCAGGCATTAAATAGTCAGCATGGAAACTCAGAAAGCCCCTGAAAGACACAAGGGACGGATGTCTTTTATGGTGCCCTTTTTCGGGTGCTGTCTTAGGTTGAGGGATTGCACTGATCAGCCGGACCCAGAGCATGTTGGAAGTCCTCCTTTTTCTGAATGCTCGCCTCGAAGCAATGCTGCTTCTCTAGTTGGGAGGTCCGCATGCGTACCAAAAGACCATGAGTTCTCTCTACAAGGCAAAAACTGCAAACAGGACAACCTAAACCCGAAACCCAAGATAGTTGCTTGGTGAGCAGAATGAAGGATGAGCTTCCATATGTATTCAGCTTGTCCACGGTTTTCGACAGTGTAGCCCAAACAAACTTGCAGCACATGGAACCAAAGCCGAGTGGTGGCAACCATACATGGGTTATGCAGTTATACTGCGCATGTTGCATTGGCTGAGAAGTTCACTGGCCTTCCAACATTCCTTGCGACTGCTGAACCGCAGCTAGTTCCTCAAGCAAGCCACCAGCGCCACACGACAAACCTTACCTGCTACAGCCCCTCACCCTGATCCACAAGACCTTAGCCCCAAGTTACCAAATGGCGGATTTTAAAAAATCAAAAAATAAATCCTGAATCTGTAGCCGAAACAACGAAACGCCACAGTGGGTCCCTGACTCGAGACGCCTTATGCCCTAAACCACTAGAAGGGCTGAATTGGGAGGGAAGCCTCCGGCCCTTGGCAGCCTCCGTCGGCACCGCCCTTGGAGAGAAAGACATGGTGTGATAAAGGGAAACGTTCCTTTGGGGAGACATTGCAGATAACTGGATTCCTGACCAAAATTGCATATGGGAGCTGCCGGAACTGTGCAACACCTGAGATGGCCAGGGTTTCTGCTAGCGTTTGTGGTGCGCGGGCCTTAATGTCAAGTGTTCAAAGTCTTGGGCGCAAAAAGTCGGAAGTCGGCTCTCCCTTTGTGGGGCTGTCCTGGCTCGGTGAGTTTGTTTGTTTCGTTCCACCCCAGCTGGAAGAAGGACGAACAACTCGAGAGACAGGAAGCCTGTAGCATGCTCTTATGCAAGCCCATTGTTCCAGTCCTGTTGCGCTGCTGTCATTCTACATTCTTTCCCCTTGCAGTCTCGAAGCCGGACACCTTCACCCACAAGAAAGATCTCAAAATATGGGGAGTTTCTTATGCCTATGCGGAAAATGCGTACAGTCCTCATGTGCAGAAGGCATAATACAAGAATGCATCTGAATAAG